CGGATTTGCACCAAAATTTACATTCACATGCTCGAAGTTAGTGAAAAGGCCAAGACCAACTTTGCATTTCCCAACTCCCATCGATAGTGGAAATAATCGATTTTTTCATGCTTCTACGGCAGTTTTCGTGTAGTTTGCGGCCATTTTCTACTGGTCAAAGTAAGAGCCCATAGCTGGCTGCCACGAATAGGCAGGAAGATTCTATTGGCGAGCGTGAGCGCCAACAGCTGACTGACACGAATGTTATCTAGCATGCAAAAAAAATCGATAGCTGCATTCGTCACAAGTGGAAAAAAATTAAATCTGCATGGCACTTTACTCCAATTGGCTCATTCGCTTGCTTAAACTCAACGTTGATTCTGATTCCGCCGAACTGGGTTGGGTGTGAAAAAGTATTTGTTGTTAACATTCTTTTTTCATTCGGTTTTTCCAGTTACGAGTCCTTTTTTAAAGCTGATCGTTTTGTGTTCATTTTGTTTAGTTCTTTTTTCGTAACAGATTTAATGTTTAGTATAGAGCTTAGAAAAAATTCGCAGTGTGAGATAGGCAAGAAGTAAGGCATGTAGCAGCATCATCACGGAAAAGGGCACTCCTTTAAAGGCAAGGAAGGGTAAAAATATTTAAGTCGTGAGAGTGATTGCTGTATGAGTCGTACGATTTTTGAATCAAGCACGGGAAACGCCGTGCCATGCTGCTAGTGCTAAATATGATAGAAGGAATTTCTATCTAAACGCTTATATATGACTCATCCTAACCATGAAATATTGAATACCTCAAAACTCTCTCTATATAAATAAATATGTCTATATCTATCTATCTATCTATCTATCTATCTATCTATCTCTCTCTATATATATATAATAGTTAGCCACTCGTATTCGAGGATACCCGTCTACTAGGGAGACTAGCTAATCCGTAATTCAGACGCTCGCTCAGGCATATTTCTGTTTGTTCAACACCCACAGAGCCAACCTGTGGTTTATACTGCAACTATGCTGAGCAGACTTTAGTTACAGTTTCTGGGAGAGAGCATGCTATCTAACGTGATCAACAAGTCTGAACAAGACCAGCACACTCAAACCCTCGGTCACGATGACTTGTGACTTCGTGCTAGCACGGCTATCAACGGTCCTCCATTCCTGACAAATCAACCGTGGTGAGATTCGAACTCAGGTCTCATGGTCAGAAATCAAATGTTCTAACCACACACACACACACACACACACACACACACACACACACACACACACACACACACACACAGACACGCGTGTGTGATAAAATATGTCTTCCTGAGTTCTAGTATCAGTTTCATTCTATTTTCCTTAGGGATGATTTTTTTTAATGAGGCCTACTTAATGGCGTCTTATATTTTGCCACTTAGCAACCAACGTCTTGTGTTTTTTTTACACTTCCTCGTGGCCATAACGACTAAAATTTTCATAGTTCGACAAAGTGGATTTTTTATAGCTTCTCTCTTGATAAGAGAAAAATCGGCGTGCTAAATTCCTTAATTTGGCTGTATCAGTCCTACATCTGATTTATCCATGATTTTCACTGTGTGTATTTTTTTTTTAAATAATTTGATGGTACCTGCCAATCATTTTTCTATTTGCAAAGTTGTTTTACACTTTCTAGTTTCTGAAGTTTTTTTTCTTATCTTTATCTCTCATTTGTAAGCTTCAAACAGGAAACGTAGCTACTAATTTAAAACTTCGAATCTCAGAGCACTTCACAAAATTGCTGAATGTAATTTATACATATGCGCAGATCGACATGAATTCTTTCCTAACTGCGCAGCCAGATGTTCCCATTATTCATCAAGGAAGCAGATTCTAACATGTATTTATAGTTCGATAAGACAAGCCATACCTAATTATTTGAGTTGATTGATTTCTTTTTTATGGCGTATTAACCCTTTGTGGATTATTTAAAGCAACAGCATATATATAGATGTAGCAGGACGTTTACATCACCCCGTGTTCCCAAGTCGACCTTCTTAAGTACTTAACAGTTTCCACATTGTTTAACCTCAGTAATCAAACGATACCGTTATTTTCAGAGTGCTTTGATCGTAAGAAAAAGTAGGTCATCTTAAGATTTGATAACTTACTGATAGGCTACTGACTTTATTTCACTTTGTCAGTTATACTCGTGGGATGTGTAAGCAGTGTAGTGATTATGAGAGATATAGGATGGAATTGGCATCGAGATTAAATTCCAGCTGAATCAATTGCGTTCGTTTCTATATAAATGCCTATTGAAAAGTTATGAATTATAATTATAAGCTATCAGACAAACCGAACTCTCTAGTATTAGTTAGCAGCCAGACTAAAGGCAGATAACTCTGTATCCGAAACCGGTTGGGTGTGTTTCTAATTGCTCGACTAAGAAAAGTCTACATGCTACGAAACCACTGCAACACCTAACGCGGGGAGGTTGTGACTCTGTGCTACATTGCGCATTTCATGATGAATTTTCTTTTTCTTCTTGTGTCGCATCAGTTCAGTAAGTGGGCGAATACTGCCCTCCACAACATCCTTCTCTTTTGTAACTCTTAGCAAAGTTTGTCTTTTTGCTGACGTTCACATTCCATGATCTACCATCCATTTACACAAGTTCGTTAGATAGGCTATTCGATTTTTTGTCCATTCGGGAATTAGGCGGTCAGTGCTCTCCACAGCATCCTTCTCCTTTGTAACTCTCTGCAAAGTTTGTCTTCTCAATGTTGTTCACATTCGCTGAGTTGCTATTCATTTACGCAAGCTCGTTAGGTAGGTTACCCGTTGTTTATTGTCCATTCGGGAATTGGGCGACGGGTACGCTCCACAACATCTTAATTAAAATATTTGAATATTTCCTAATGGGGGGCAGTGGTCATTGCTTTAGCGCAGATATTAATCTGGATTTTGAAAAGTGATTTTATCGGTATGCAGGGTTATGTTGGAAGATGGGCTTAAAAAAATATCTCCATTAGGTCACTGCTGATTTCGAGGGTGGTAGAGTCCCAGCTATGGGCAAATGATGACCCTGCACCCGCTGTTTAAATAAATCAACAGGGAATTCTATAGTAAAATGAACAACAATACATTTTATAGCAAAAGGAAATCAATACAACACCAAAAAAGTATAAAGAAACACAAGTAATACGTTTTTTTTATAATAACTCTAACAATACATTTTTATCTTAAAATTACCATCAATACATTTTATGATCTAATAACTACAATGAAAGTATAAAATGTTGTTCAAAATATTTAGATTCCAGGATTAAATAACCCATAGTGGTGTTGATATGCCGCTAAACAAAATCAACCAAGCAGCCTAATTTCGACTTCAAAAGACGGTCAAATATCAATATGAATGTTTAAATTCTTAAGGAATTCAGTGGCAAACATTTTTTTCTTAAAGAAAGAATTACCTCCTTTTTCTACTAAGATAATGTCAAACAATTTTATTCCGTCTGCAATTTTTTTTTCTTTCTGGATATTAAGTAAAGAATAAAAAAAAATATTTTATGTTATTTTCACCATTAACGTTACTGAATTATATATTCCACATTTTATTCTGTTGTCTTTCGCTGTCTTTTATGTTCTTTCTTTGAAAATTGTTTTTCCGTCTTTCTCAGCAGGCAACTGCTCTACCTGTTTCTTGTAATCTGTCAAAGAATTGACGAATTCTGTAAAGACTAGAATAAATGGCAAATCGAAGGTGAACTATCCGCTGAAAATGTCGATGAGTGTAAATGTCCCCGCCAAATTGAATTTGTTCTTTTTCTTTTCTTTTTTGCTTGGTCGCCAAAGAAACATGTGGTCTGGAGTTAGGTATCATAGTAGAATATAACACACGTTAGGTATGCACGCTTTTCGGTGACTATTGTCTTTATTTAGTCTACCTGGTAGTTGTACTTGTTCGAATCAATCTCTTGTTTTCGTAAAAGTAGCTTATACTATATTCCAATCTTCCCATATAGACAGTATCGTATTGATAAGATGAAAACCAGGCTTTGGTGTGGTTAATGGTGATTCATTTCACTTACATCAAGATCACTTTGTTTTCATGTAATTTTGATATATCCGACTTAATCGTCTGTCACAAATTCAGACTGGAGGACATTTAAAGATTCGGTTAACCTATGTGTAAATCAAACATAAATTACATGTACATAACGAAGAATGGGTAAATAATTTTCAATGCTTGACTATATTGACTATTTCTTTTAAGTATAAAGAAACACAATTAATACGTTTTCTATAATAACATTGCTAACAATACATTTTTATCTTAAAATTACCAGCAATACATTTTATGATCTAATAACTACAATGAAAGTATAAAATGTTGTTCAAAATATTTAGATTCCGTTGACAGTTCACAAGCAATGTCTTGATTTCATTTTCAAATATTCATTTCAGCGGTTCGAAATTAAGGTTAAACAAAATAACAAATTATTTCCTAAAATTTCTGGAATCAAATATGCGTCATTTTGGATAACATTTATTTTGGAAAAGAACGACTGAAACATCAGCTGTCATATAACAATGAATACAATATTTTCAAGAATTTGTTTCAAGTAAATGTTACTATTTTCATCGTTCGGACTGTTGTCCTCATTCCATTGCCATATTCACGACGTTACTCCGCTCCAGCCTTCTGATATACTTTGGTATTTTGAACCGAACACTTTATTTACTCCACCGGGGTAGATTGTTCTATTTCCACGTGTCATGCCTTTTCTGGATATCTCAGTTTCGGTAAATTCTCTTCAGTAACTCTACTCTTCAATTTTTTTTTGTGCTCAGGCATTGAACTCTCAATTCATTTTTGGATTACTTCAATTAACGCTTTTATCCCAGTGGATCAATGTTACTAATATTATCTAACGATCTTTGTGAAAGATTAATCATAATTAATAGTTATTATTGTTTAAGGCAATAAAAAAAACGGACTTAATAAAAAGCGACTAAAAGATAAAACAACAATTACGTAGTTGCCAATACGAAATAAGGAGTAAGAAAGAAACTAAAATCAAAGAAAGATGAGGGGAGAGATAAATTGTCAGAAAGAAACGGAAAACGGAGAGAGAATGAGAGAGAGAGAGAGAGAGAGAGAGAGAGAGAGAGAGAGAGAGAGAAAAAAGGAATAAATGAAAAAACAAAGAGAGAAGAGAGAGAAAAACAAAAATTATATAAAACGAGCTAACCGGTTATCTCTCCTCACTCGTCAGAATTCGATCGAAGAAAGTAACATTTTTGGGCACCCCGACTTAAAAGAGAAACACTAAGAAAATATCTGCATATAAATAATATACTGAAACGGATACTTATTTATAAACAAATCACATTAACCCTTAACAAACAATATATCTGTTTGCTTTAGGAAACTTGTCTTGATTTATAATAGAAAAAATTATTAAACTCTTTGAAGTATTTTAAATGATAGATTTTGATCAGTCTAAAACTGTGAACATATCCGCGGGAAAGGATGATGTACACTCCCGATGTTTTTTAATAAGGTATTCTGCGATTGCAGACCCGGATATGACTACACGCTTATACAACCGACATTTGCCATGGGGACATGGGCAATTCGCTTCGCTAGAAGTTGTGTAGTTGAACCTTATAACCAGCTTCACACCGTTATTTAAATTGGTAAATTATGGAGCAATTTTGAATCAATTGTTATCAGGTATCTTATTTTATATGATTTGGGTGTTCTTCTCCTTTATCCCTTTAATTTCGTGTTCCTTATTTCGTGTTAAAATCTTTCCGTAGGCATTGTTGTCCTATTTTTTGTCCCTTTTTATTATGTCTGTTTTTATTGCCTTAATTAGGTACTTTACTTTAGGGTCACCTTACTCTGAAACACCGGTTTCCATACGATCACCGAAGTTAAGCAATGTTCGGCCTGGTCGATGGCTAGATGGGTGACCACTTGAGAATACAAGGTACTATAAAATTGGATGTGTGGGTGGTGTAGTGGATAATGATTAAAAGATGGAAATCTGAGAGCCGAGTTCCAATTACGTTCGTTTTATGCACCATATGTAACGAGAAAGGAGAGCCTGGAGAATCTGATACTCACGGGTTGAATAGAGGGAAAGAGAAACAAGGGAAAGCAACGCATTACATACCTGGGGGGGGGCTTAAGCAAGTGGATGACAGAACGTGGTCTAGGGGTGACAGAGGGACGAACTTATTGAGAGCGACAAGAGATACGGAGAAATGGAGAGTCATGATCGCCTACGTTCTGAAAGGCGACGGCACATAAAAAGAAATATATTCACTACGCGCAAATAACCTTCAGAAAGGCATGAATCCACCGCTCCCCCCACCTATGGCTACATTAGTAAGATTTGTATTCCTAAACCATTATTGTCTCAAAAAACAAAATTTTTACAATCGAAAAATATTTTGTCTTTAAATAAACTGGAAAGTGTTGATAAACCGTAAAAATGAATCAAACATATCCTTTTTGAAAAGACGTCATTTTATAGTGAGCTGTTATTCAGCTATGGGTTAATTTTTAGAACTTGTATCAGTAAATTATTATTATCATTATTATCTCCAAAAGATTCATTCTACATGTGTTTTCTGGCATTTAATAACCTGAAACAGGTTGATAATCCGTAAAAACCAATCAATCAGTCTATTAATGATAATTAATTTTCATAATGTCATCAAAAAGAGGATTTGGGGGGGAGCGGCGAAATCCAATTTTAAATAAAAATTTATCTGTAAGTTTTTACAATATAATGAAAGTCGATCTTTGCTGAATAGTGATTTTCCAGCGTCGTTTAGATGTGGCACAAGGCCAAAAGTAGAGGGCACCCAGTGAGGATTGCACTCACTTATCACTGGTAATTATTCTAGCGAGACAAGATGGCTAACCATTACAACACACCGAAGTGCCAAATGATTTTCTAAGCGTAGCTTAGATGTGACACAAGGCTGAAAGTATGAGGCACCCAGTGCGGATTGAACTCACTACCCAGTCGTAACTGTTTTAACGATACAAGCTTGTTAACCATTACACGAGTCGATCTTTTTTAATAAACACCCAATGCCACCTTTAAACAAATACAGAGCCTTGTTTTTGTAAATGACTTCATTTAAAATCAATGCTCCTAATGCCAGAAATATAACGCAAATTTTAACCTCCAATTTATAATATGCGAGTGAATCATTTTTTATGTGAACATCCATGCACATTTTTGCGGTTTCGACAAACCAGTTAATAAAAATACAAAGACAAACTATGTGTTTATATTCCCGAGTATCCGCATGGAAACTTAATATTGTCGCATTGTACATCTGCAGACCGAAGAGATTATCTGAATGAATGCTGCATCGATTTGTGCCGTACCCCAAGCAATGTTCTGAATGCTTTCTGCCTATGTTCAGCCAGAATTCACTAGCGACGTCTCCATGACGGGAAATTGGGAGAACAAGCTCAGCAGTCAGGGTGCCGAGAAGAAAACCGAAAACTTTATGAAAATGATTAAGAAATCTATTAAAATCTCCTAAATAATTAATACATTAATTGAAATAACTGTTTAAGAATAGACGGTTTCCATTTATTTATTCATTTATTTATGAATATGTAAATATCAGAAATCAAATCAATGAAAAGTAAATTTTCAATTTTCACGTTTTCATATATATATATATATATATATATATATATATATATATAATATACATACAAGTATATAATTGTTGTAATTGATAAGACACGCACACATATATATATACAAGTATCAAGTATATATATATATATATACAAAAATATATATATATATATATATATATATATATATATATATATATATAATTGGTAAGACACCAAGAGTGTTGAAACAAAATGGCTATTTTTGTAGTGATTTTATGCATTGAGAGATAAACACGTGTCTCTCCCGAAATGCTCAAAACAAGCATGGCGGACCCGGAATGTGAGTACATTTACTGAATTGAAAAGAAACGACAAGAACCAATATATATGTACAAACAAATGATAATGTATTAACCACAAAGGATTACAAATGTCAAAGTCAAAGACGTGTATATCAAATGAATGTGAAAACTTTTTGGGTGCAAATTATGTGTAGAGAATGAAAGTGCATATGTATGTGTTTGTGTGTGCGTGTGTGTATTGTTCATGCAATTTCTAAAAGTGAACGCGTTCTCCGCGAGATATTTACATGTTGACGTGTAAGAGGAAAAAATAAGACGAGAACGAGAAAAAATATCGTAGAATATTTATAGTCCTGAAAGCGTCCCCTAGTAGCTGTTTCGAAAATTATGAGGGGTAACCTGACATCGAAGTTGTTCAACACTGGCTCAATTTAATTGCTTCTACACTTTCCCTAAGGAACACGAGAGTCAAGGAGAAGAAGACGTCTTTGATTGTGTAAAATTTGACTTAGTATTTTGCACGACCATCTTAAAAAGCCATATATTTTTTGATCAGATTTCTGCTTTCACTATTAGACATTGATTCTTCCAAAATAGTTTTTGTGACAATTTATGATTTATTTCTAGGTGGTTTTTATTCATATACTGGCGATTTTCTCCCTATAAATAACGCGTATTCTAATACCTTTCTCAAGCTTAGTTAGCAGTTGAAATAAGTTTTCGGGCTGTAACTTATCGAATGCTTTTTGTGTTATCTGTGGAACATAGGTCTTTTCGAATTTGTATTACTTGCCCTGAAAGCAATCTGATCAAGAAGATAACAAGTATTTTCTTCTTGAGAGTATTTCTGGTCTAATTCAGCAAGGACTTCTATTCATTCAGCATTACTTTGAGAGTTACACAGATATCCATTTGTCTGCTCGCAGACATATTTTCTTGGTGGATTTTTTGTCTTATCTCGCCCCTGTGATGTCATCTGTTTCTCGATTCAGCTAAAACAGTGTACAGTTTGTTTATCCATAATCCGACAACACTGGGTCAAGTATGAATTATTGAAGTTTTTATTGAAGGTTTTTTTTTTATTTCGTAGAATAAATTTAACTCCAAATCTAACAATTTCATCTTACGTTTTAAAATACTCTGTTAATCACTACCCCTTGGTTAATAAAGGCCAAAATAAAATTAAATTCAAGTTCTACCTTGTCTGTTATGGCCAACAACATGTCGATATTTTATAGCATATAAAATTTGTTGGCTGATTTCATGTCGAACATTTCTTCTTCTTCTTCTTCTTCTTCTTCTTCTTCTTCTTCTTCTTCTAGTGTCATATCTATCAGATGATCAGTTATTTCTTGAGTTTGTCAGTGTTATTGTAACAATTATACTATGTTAACGAGTAACAACCACATCGATGAAGAGGGATTATCATCTTTCTTTGACAACGATATCATTATAATCATTTGATCCGTTTTCAGTCATTGCTGTTGAATCTCCAATGAATTTTACGAGTCGTCTGTTATCGCCGTGAAAAGTCGAACAAGTGAACCGAATAAAATAAAACTAAATTCAAGTTCTACATCATCTGTTATGGCTGACATATGATGTTGAGGCTTCACCCCAAGTAGGTATTTTTCAGCTTTATAAGATTTCTTGGCTAATTTCATGTCGAACTGTTCTTCCTCTTCTTACCTTGTCATATCTATCAGAAGATCAGTGTATTTCTTGACTTTGTCAGTCTTTCTGTAACAATTAAACTATGGTAACGAAAAAACATCCACTTCGATGAAGCGGTATTATCTTGTTTCTTTGACAACGATATCATTATAATCGTTTAATCCATTTTCAATCATTGTTGTTTGAATCTCTGGTGAATTTTACGAGTCGTCTGTTATCGCCGTGGAAAGTCGAACCAGTGAACCGAGATCAAGTTTTGGATTAGGCTGTTGCGTCACTTTCGGTCCAATAATCTTGGAATAGTAATGAATACTTTTTGTTCCCTTCGTCCTGCTATAATCTAAATAGCCGCGGCTGGCATCCAGCCTATGAGAAGGAAAACTCTAAATCCCGAACCGTAGAGAAAGCAGTGGAAAACATTCCCCTTGAAGGCATAGTTCTTTCAAGAAAAAAGAGGAAAAAAAAAGAAAATGCAGAAAAGAAACATGTAATCAGTTACCTAATCTCCTAAATCCCCTGAGATGATCCAAAGTTACTATTTTATTTAATTTTCTTGATAACCTGCTTTTCAGATTAAAATATGTTATTTTTATCTAAGCAATCTTATTATCATTGCTTGTTATTACAACACTCTTCATCAAAATACTCTTCGAAATTTAGATGGAATATCGAAGTGAAATCGAAAATAAACGGTATGACTGCTAAGGACTTGATTTTAGTTAGTATCGAACACAACATAGATTGGTAAAAAATTTCAGCGTGTTGGCAGTCACCATCATTAAAATTAGCATTTAAAATTCTCTTGAAGGGATTGGAATTCCCGTTAGCGTATTTCAGGAAATCCGATTTTCTTTCAATATGGGCGCCATTGTCGGTAAGGCAAGTGCAAATTACTTTTCTTCATTCTTTTTTTAACGTTGCTAAAACGTCGATCGATCATTAATTTTCTGAAAGTAGGCTCTGGATCCTCAGGCAAGAACTTACTTGAAATTTAACTTTGCTGCTTTCATCTGGATTCAATTCTCATTAATAATTCCGTGTAGAAATATCTAACTATTATTTTTAATTTTTGCTCATATGTCATCAGTTATACTAATATTTCTTGTGCAACTATTTATCTCTAAAGAAGATGCGAACAAGAAATCAGTCTATATGTAAGGATATGCACGCATCCCCCCTCTCTCTCTCTCTCTCTATATATATATATATATATATATATATATATATATAAACAGGGCTTATCAAAATACTTTTACATACTTTGGGGAGCGTATTCCTCACGCCAAAACAAGGACAAAAGTGCATATAAACATATTTCTGCAAATTCTTTGCTTTTGAGTTTAGTTTAAAGAAAGTTTGCCATAGATTGCGCTGTGTTTCCATGTAGACTATATTACATTTGTCATTCGTGTACATCTGTGGTTAATATGTTTTCAACGTTTAGCGTGTGTAGTAGTAACTTAACTGAGAAGCGTTCCGTTTAACAAAGGCGGGGTATTCATACAGCCACACGAACGGTAATAGACGCGAGGCTGCACGGCTGTATCAAATTGCGTTTCCAGGCCGAAGAACAGCAAAGTCATGCAACCTCTGCTGCTGTTTGAGACAGTATCCATGGCATTACTAACTATGAATCGAGGAAGGCCGAGGTCCGCTTGTACGCATGACCCCGAAGAACACACTCCACGGGCTAAACTTTAAAATTAATAACTCAGATATATATCTATATGAACTTTTGACCTTGTTTCCTTGTTTTCGTGAGTGTAACCCAGCCATAATGTTTGTAAAATTATTTTTATATATATATATATATATATATATATATATATATATATATATATATATATATATATATATATATATACGATCCAATTCATCAGACCTATAAATTCAAAAAAAAAAAAAGAAAAGGACAACTCCGGAAATAAGAATATAATTTAGAGAGAGTGTAAGTATGAGAGTGCGGGACGAATGTTAGTGTTAAAGAGAGGGGTAACAGACGAGAGAAGGTGGGAGACTAAAACTTAACAGAGAGGGTTTTTTACTTGAGGTGAGTGGAAGGGGAAATATGAATGTTGTCGGATTTCTAATACATTAAAGATACATTTCGTGGTGACAAAACACACCATGGACGATCTAATGTTAAAGATCAGAATAAGAGGGAGGAAGAGAAAAGGAAAGAAGGGGTGGGGGAGAGAGATGGGGAGTGGGAAACTAAGTTTAAAGGACATTTACTGAAAGGGCCGCTGTGTAATTGAGAAAATTTGACAAAATTAATATCGACTACAGGTTACAAATCAAATATAAACATATAAAGAATAAATGTAACGATTATCTAATCTAGCAAGGACAGATATGTTTATGTTCAAAAACACATGCGAATACACACATACACAATAACATATACACGTATATACATACACATAGGTGTGTACCCACATACACACATACATATACCCATGTACAAACATGCACATATATCCACATATCCACACACACACACACACACACACACACACACACACACACACAGGTTGTTCTTTTCTGTTTTCTTTTTGAATTTGTAGGTCTGATGAATTGGATCGTATTTACGATTCCAATGGAATAAATTATGACCATGGAATATTAGTGTTTAAGCCTTTTTATTATATATATATATATATATATATATATATATATATTTTAATTAAAATTTTAAAAAAACAGACAACCATAAGAGTCCATTGATTATATTTTATTTCCCCAGGAAGCTGTTTTTTTCCAGGTTCCTCTGATCACATTTCCAAGCATAAAAAATGGTTTTAAATTACGTATTATTTTTATACGCTTTTGAAGGATAGTTTTAAGTTGATGTAAGTTAATAGAGAGAGAAAGAGGAGGAGGAGGAGGGGGACAGATACTGTCGAAATTAGAAGAGATAGGAATAACTGTAAATCTATTTTTATTTAAATACTTAAGAATAAACGGAGGGGTTAAGAACCAGACATTGACCTCTCTAATAAGTCACCTGACAGGAGAAGCGACAAAGGTTAAAAAAAATATAGAGGGAAGATTTAAGAATGCAAATGTAGAAGCAGAGACAGGAGGAAAAGTGGGGAAAGAAGAAAAGAAAGAATAAATTAACGTATATAGGCATATTGCAGTTAATTTCAAAAACACAGATTGATATAGTTTGCAGTTAACGCTTGATATTAATTTATAGATTACCAACAAAATAAAATAGGATAAAAAGAAAAAAATAATATAATGTGATTATAAAATATGCAAAAAATATTAATATTATTAATATTAAGAACAGCTAAAAAGTAAAAAAATTAATAATTAAAATCTAAAATTTTAAATTTATAGTTTTATATATATATATATATATATATATATATATGCGTGTGGGTGTATGTGTGTGGGTGTGTGCTCAAAACTATATACTGAAAATTATATATTCAAATCTAAACACTAAATTCACACTAAGAAACCTTTCTTAAAAAAAAAAAATGAATTTCTTTGCATTACACGGAGTCATTATTCGACTGAATATTTACGATTGCAAATCAATTCTATGTGCACAATTCAATGGCATCTTTTAAATTAATCATAGCAAATGTATAGAAATATGATGAAATTAAATTTCAAAACTATTTTTCATTAGATTCCCTTTGCATTTTGTGCACAGGTTTAATCTGACGGAATCTATTTATTAAATTGGAAATTATGTATACAAATTAATATTTTTTTTTAAATTGGACTATTCTCAGAAAATCAATCAGAGAAGAGAAACAAAACACTTCATGTTCGATTTGCGTCATGCTCCCGGTAAAGTAATGTAAGGACGAAATATTTCGTTTTTATCTGAAACAAAATAAAGGTGACGCACAAAACTAGCATTGTGTTCTTTTTAAACATCTACGAGATCTGGTCAAGAAGTATCGGTACTGTTACTATGGTAAGGGAGCTAAATTACTGATGTGGACCCAAAGTTGGGACCACGGAATGAAAACACGGAACACGGATTAGATGTAAGAAAGATATATTAAACAAAAAGGTTACAGAGATAGATAAGCGGAGCTTACTATATGTTAGTGTCCGATACTGGTAGTCGTACGTGGCTCTCACTGTCTCTCTCTGTCTCTCTAGTGTTGCATCGCATACTTAATATAGACCTGGAATAGTCTATTGTAGGGTTGTTCCGGTCTCACAATAATTACTCAGTGTGAAACCGTTTGGCACAAATTGATCGTGAACTCTGTCGCGCATACACACAAATGTATAACGTGTTAGCTCACTTACTCTCTTTTAGCAGCGCATGGAAGGTAAGTGTGTAGAGTGTGCTTGTCTCACCACAACATCGTGGTTCCAGTGACCATTCTGCAGTAGAATTTGTGTAAGAATGTCATTCCCTAGGCACGACAAACATCATATTCTCAGATCTCGCCCCCAGCGACAATTCCTCTTCAAAAATCAAACGAAAATGGATAAAGTTTATGGCTTCCGAAGTGTGTGTGTGTGTGGCGGGGAGGGGCTACTTCGAAGGAGATTTAATACCGAATATGTATTGTTGTTTTCTTTTATAGCAACGATAATTTTTTATCAGCCCCCATACATATATAGAGAGAGATAGGTAGATAGATATATAAATAGATATGAACAGGCTGTGATAGATAGATATGAGCAAACTGTGTGATAGATAGATAGATAGATAGATATTAACAAACTGAGAGAAAAGATGGATAAATCTACACAGACTGAGATAAATATATATATATATATATATATATATATATATATATATATATATAGAGAGAGAGAGAGAGATAAGAAACAGATAGAGATAGATATATAAACAGTCTGAGATAGATAGATCACGTATAAATATATATATATATATATGTGTGTGTGTGTGTGTGTGTGTGCGTGTGTATTATATACATATATATTTTTCTTTTCTGGACATAAATTATGTAGAATTTGTCCGAATGTTCTGTCTGTCCGAGCGCTTTTAGTTATTACTTTTAGATTAATACGCTAGAATTTCCCCTACCCTCATGTGCTCTGGTAACTTAGGAGTAGAAATTCTGACCTAATTAAAACATAAATCGGTCATTGTTACGATCCTGGTCTGTTTAATACCATTAAAAAACAGAGATGTATGTGGAAGACTATATATATATATATATATATATATATATATATATATATATATATATATATATGACAAAACTGGAAAAGGTTTACTTATAACGCGTTTCGTCCTTCAGGACTTCATCAGACTTGAGGTCGAAACGCGTCACGAGTAAATATTTTCGAATTTTTAAATACTGTTCTTGATATATAAAATATATATCTTTATCCTATATATATATATATATATATATATATATATATATATATATATATATATATATATATATATATATATATATATATATATATGTGTGTGTGTGTGTATATCGATACAGAAAAAAGTGGTTGATCCATCAAGAAGTTTTCACATATTCCAAAATCTGATGTTTGATCATTTGGTCTGTTATTAGGAAGTTGGTCTTGCAGAGTAATTTCCTGCTTCCACACTTATATATGGCCATATATATATATAAATATGAATATGTATGTATATATAAATATACATATATATATATATATATATATATATATATATATATGTGTGTGTGTGTGTCTATGTATGTATGTTTATATGCACACCCATGTTAACATACATAAGTATATACATGTAAATATAAATGAGTGAGAAAATTAGAATAATTTGGATATCATCGAAAAATAGTCTAAATTCGAACACCGAATTTTCCTCGAAGCGCCTTGAGTATCGAATAACGAGCCAAATGGTAGAATGTGAACGAAGCCGAAAGGAGTGTGAGCAGAAGATTGCATTGAAATGTGTCAAATGGTTTTGTCTGCATTTTTGTTTTTCATCGAATCATCTAATTGCACGAAATATTTTACTTATCATATTGGTTAAAATTACTTTCAAATTTGAAATCGATACTTGAGAACAAAGAGAAAAACTTGGTCGTTAAGCAAATATCTAAGGAAGAAAAAAAGGATTTTCATCTTTGCTAACTCATACATATATACATATATATATATATATATATATATATATATATATATATATATATATAAATTGCACATATATATATATATGCATACATATAAATGTATATAAAATATATATATCTATATATATATGAAATACTTTATATATCTACAAATATATTCATGTTTGGTCTATAAAATTCTACGTATAAGGTATAATAGCATATATCCAGACATAGTAATCAAAAATAATTTTATTCTATTTTTATGCCTATAAAATCATATATATATATATATATATATATATATTTTTTTTTACAATCATACACACACACACACATCAACCCTCTCATATATATATATATATATATATATATATATATATGTGTATTTAGGTTTAACATTTAGTTATGTAAGTATATATGTATGTATGGACATCTTCATAAGTATGCCTATAAACAGATGTATGTGCAAATAAAGAGCCAGCCTTAGAACGTGGTAGACAGGCACACAGATACACACACATATCTATGCATGCATGCACACACAAATATATATATATATATATATATATATATATATGTATATGTATTTTATATATATATCTGTATCCATACAAATACGCACACATATTAACACACATAGAGATTATCATGCAAATATATAAACAAAAATTATTTTTATGCAAGATCATATAGGCCTATATATATACATTTTAACAATACACTCATATTTACAACTATACACACATATATTTTATCTATCTATCTCTCTCTCTCTCTCTATCTCTATATATATATATATATATATATATATATATATATATATATATATATATATATGCATCATTATCCATACAAATAAGCGCTCATACTGACTCACATATAGATACTCATACAATTACATACACAAATTTTTTCTATAGTTTTATACAAGAATTTTCTCATATACATACGTATATATATATATATATATATATATATATGTATATATAGATAGATAGATATAGATATATATATATATAAAATTACATATATATATACATTTACATATATACATGCACACTAACAATACACTCTTTTTCGCAAATATGCAGATATGCATTTATATATATATTATCAGAAAGAAAATTGAGAAGAAATTAAATAAAGCACTGTTAGTTTAATGGAAAAGCCGGGTCTGTGAGTACATTTACTTACATACACGATGAAGGTCGCTTCAGCCTTCTATGATTCTCTTAATCCAATACATGGCAAAATCAATGCCAAATATGCTACAGTTCAGAAAAATTTTACTTCCGCAATGTTGGGCTATTTTTGCATTTCAAATTATTTTTTCTTTTTTTTTTAAAATGCAATTTTCTGTATTTTCAATTCTTTGAAATGTCTCATGAAGATTTACCACCTTCAAATGTAAAAGATAGATAGATAGAGAGGAAGAGATAGATAGATAGATAGATAGATAGATAGATAGATAGATAGATAGGAACATTCAGACAGACAGACAAATAGAAACAGATATAGATAGATACATAAATAGGAACAGACAGATATATAGATAAATATGAACAGTATAAGATAGAGAGATAGGAACATACAGACAGATAGACAGACAGATAGGAACAGACACACACATACACTCACAAACACATACACACACACACACACACACACATATATATATATATATATATATATATATATATATATATATGAACATTATTAGACCGATAGATACATAGATGCAGAGATGGATAGGAACTGGTAGAAAGATATGAACATACAGGTATATAGCTTGATATGAACTGTATAGATATATTGGGAGATAGATAGATAGATAGATATATAGGATCAGTATATATATATATATATATATATATATATATATATATATATATATATATATATATATATGAACAGTATTAGATAGATAGATAGATAGATAGATAGATAGATAGATAGATAGATAGATAGGATCAGGTATGTATATATATATATATATATATATAAACAGTATTAGATAGATAGATAGATAGATAGATAGATAGATAGATAGATAGATAGATAGAAACAGAAATCGATGGATAGATATAACCGCCATAGATATGAACAAACTAAATGAAGGCTGAATCTTTCGCCCAATGCATTAACTGAAATGGTCACCGATAAACCATTTCCTGTACATTTACTGTAAAAGCTGTTCATAAAGAAGAGGAAGCTGTTCGTTTACTTGTAGCACTGGGATCCACACTGGAGTGGTTACGTGTGTAGTCTCGTGACAAAAGCCCAGTACCCTTCCGGAAAATGGCTTAATTTCACACAATCGCAGACAACAGGCTTGGTCATGCAGCATTCCGAAATAGACATTGATGCAAAGGAAGACACAGAATGATAGTAAATGAGAATTAATACCCTAGAGTCTCGACTACAATCCATTATGTGTGAACACAGAGAAGTCTATTGAATGATATATATATATATCCAAAGAATTTTACATTTCGCCTGTAATGGGAGTATATCAGTTGACAGATGAATCAAGGACTGCAAATAAATTGAGATCACATACTGCATATAAGTAATTATGTTAATATTAGCTGTTTCCTTATAAGGAAACATTCAGTGACTGACCAGCCATTACCTCTATCGGTTAATTTTCTTTTTTTTAATTCTCTCCCTTAAAATGATTTGTCAGGAAAATAGTTTACTTAAAGTCTTGTAGCTGTTATCAATCTTTCCACTATTGGAAAAAAGTAATGTCATAACTGTTCAGTACTTTTTTGTTCCTGAGTTCTGAGTTGTAGGCTTTGTTTTTGGAAGGCTTGTTTTATTATTACAATTCACTCTTGGGTTTTCATTGACAGACCTTTCATCGTTTTTTTTTTTACTATAAAAAATACAGGTATCTTTCTTTCCGTGCTTATTTCTGACATCGTCAATTCAAAGCCTAAGCTTTTGCGGTTTACGGCCACATCACACTAAAAACGCCGGTTCTCGTAGGATAACCGAAATTAAGCAACGTCGAATCTGCCTAGTCCCTAGATGGGTGACCGATTGGGATTAGAAGGTGATATAAGCTTGGATATACGGGTGGCTTAATGGATAATGGCTCAGAATTTTTAATCAGAAAGCCGAGTTTCAAATCCCCTTGAACCCGTTACATTCACTTACACGCAAATACCATATGAAAAGGTATAAATTGAACTCTTTTTTCCTCAGCTATGGTTTAATTATTAAGCATTGCTTGTTTGCTTGTGTAGAAGCATATCAAAACCTTATGGGTCATTTATGCCGAAATTTAATTTTCTTGTTAGGATTAGTAATTTCTTTTACAAATATATATTACTGGTATTTTTAAAAATATGTATTAATATAAACATGTATTTTTATATTTTCATAGTGATTTGAGCCCAGTTTGGGAGTTAACTCTTTAGCCATTGCTGTGACGTTACCAGATTCTACCACCCCGGATCAGAATGGACCTGGGAACAACAGAAATTCAGAGGTGGTTCTTTCCTCCTCAAAACCTCCCGATCAGAAGTGTTGCTGCCGGATTTAGTTTATCGTCATACCCAGTTTATTATTTAGACTTGTGTCACTAAACCATCAATTTAAAAATTCTTACAATCTAAAAAAATATTTGCTGGCTTCAAATAATCTGAAAAGGGTTGATAATTTCGTAGAAAAGGAATCAATCAAAATATCAAATGTTTGACTACATCTCGTGATGACGACCAATCATTCTGTTTTCTTTCTGTTATCGGTTAGTCCTTTCTTATCTTCTTTCCTTCCTGATCTATGAAACCATATAATTTTTCTTCTGGGTTCACCATATTCACTCTGTCATTCTATCTACCATTGCACTAAGAGGAAAGTGTCAGAGCTAACTCCTGGCATCCCACTGACGAAAGCGTAGGATTTTCTCTTTAAATATTTTCATGCGCCATATGCTTTTCAAAAAGTGTATGCATAACAACTCGATATTTCATCTCTTCACTTAGAGAAACACTTTACGGCTTTTCTTTCACATCACGCTTGATTTGTAAGTAAACATTATCTATTTTTATAGCTGACTGCAGATAAGTGAAACCAGCAAATACGAAACTATGGATAACGGGGAACTGCTGTATTTGACTATTTTTCGTTGGGCGCATCCATTGCTGATGCATTCACTATAATAATGCATATTCCATAGGTTCCGACTACAGTTTCGATCATTGCTATTTCCGCTTTCGCTTCAGTGCTAATTTGTGTACTGACACCGATAGCCTCTTTGATCGATCGCTAAGGGATCTGGAGTTTATTTCCCAATCATATCGCTTCCGAAATGTTTTTGTAAGGCTTATAATCTTTTTTCCGTGTTTATTTTAGTCTGACTATTGTTGTAAGCAGTTTTATTTTCTCTTTATTTGAAGTTATGCAAACAAATAGCGCTTCCTTCTTTCCGGTGAATGATACCGGAAGTTGATAGTCCTAGCTACTGGTTATGGTGGATCTTCAAGAATACATATCCGGTTAGTTTATGGTGGGGCTTGTCGAAACATATCCGGTTACTTATAACCAGCTTTCAGGCGTTTACTTGTTCTATGAGATTGTAGGCCGTGATGGGAATTTTCTTGACTAGCCAATATAAGAATATTTATACATATAAAAAGTATTTCTGTAAATATAATGACTCATCTCAGGCTAAGATGAATGCCAGATAGTTCAACGTAATCAACGTCGTTATAAAATAAGAAAAATGGAGTTATTTGTTTGAAAAAATTCTATTGTTTGGTTTGGTTTGTTTTACGGCATATCAACCAAAATGGGTTATTTAATACCGAAAAATTTCCTTTTCTTTCAAAAATGTATAGCTGGTAATATTTTTTTAAAAAAATGTATAGTTTGGGTTTAGTTTTGTTTTGTGTCATATTAACCTCAATGTGTTATTTAATACTGACAAGATTTTATTTCTGGTAATATTTTCTTTTTCCAAATATTTATTGCTGATACTAATTTTTTAAAAAGTATTTCTGGTATTTAAATCTATTTTTACACTTTCATAGTGTTTAGAGTCAGGTTGTGGAGTCAATTATTTGCCCATAGCTGGGACCCTAACAGGTGCTACCACCCCGGGTCAAGGTGGACCTGAGAACACCAGCAATTAAGAGGTGGTTCCACGCTCCTCAAAACCTCCTGATCAGAGACCTTGCTGTTGGACGTAGTTTATTGTCTTACTCAGGACGCGGATGTAGTTTATCGTCATACCAAGGATGAAAAAAAAAAATTCTATAATTCAGTCGAGGCACTAAGGGAAAAAAGCCTTAGAACAATTGTCTTGAAAGTATTTATAGGAAAGACAGAGGGAAGCCATGTAAACGGCGGTTAGAAAATTAATGAATTCACCACGCCAGTTTAGGACCGAGAACGTTACAGAACGTTACTTTGGATTTTGTCAAGAATATCGAGTTATATAGTAGAAGCAGCAGAAGAGATATGTTAGTAATAATCAATAAACGGACAGTTTAGAAATGCAGTTAAAAAGTGTAGTAAAGATTAATGTTTAATTTACACATAGATATTATTCATAATAATATATAATAATATGTTATATATATAATATTATATATATATATATATTATATATTATATAATAATATATTATGGAAGATTATGGAATATGATATAAATTCTAATAAATAATAAACATTTCAAAGAATCTTCTTTTTCTTTTTTCATTTATGGCTTCAGATTGTCTAACATTATTTCAAGGACATTTTTAAAGTCTTAATATGTCAGCACTTAAGATTAATTTGTTGCTTGCATTTTCCTCAAAAGCACTTGGAAATGAATTATATACGTTGTGATGGATAAATTGTTGTCAAAATTATGCAAAAATGAAAATAATACTGACATTCCATTTTAACAGATATACTTACCAAAATTGCACGAAAATATCTTGTAATACTAAAGAATACATTTATTCAATAAAATCGCAATTGACTTTAGCCACGGCCTTGAGACGACTTCGGAATCTCCTGCGACTCTTCTAGTCGGTCTCCTTCTTTAAGTTGGTAAATGTTGCAATAATCCTTACTCAGTTCATTTTTGGTGTCACAAGGAGTTTTGTTCGTCTCTCGCTCAATTGCATCCTACACATAATAATCAAGGGGGGTGCAGTCTGGGGAGTTAGGTGGCCAGGTGTTGATGTGGTCGCAGAAATTGTCTGACAGCCATGACTCGTTTCTCCTGCTTGTCTGGAATGGTAAAGAATCCTGTTGTGAAATATAGGGTCTTCCAGCAGCCAACCTCTTAACCCAGGGCTCCACTAACTCCTCAAGGCACTTGATATAGGCCTCCGTGTTGATGATGAATTTACGCATAACGTCGCAATCACTACTGATCTCTCCAGACACCTTCATAATCAGCATTAGTCTCATCCAACTACTTTTTGAATCCTCTGCACTGTCCATAGTGTACAAACACTTTGTAATGTTCGTATTGGAGCTTTCG